TGACGGAAAGGGCCGAGTAGTTGCGATTGATGTGGTCCTTCAATTTTATTTAGAAATATGGGAGAGGCGCCGTTTTATACCTGTCCGCAATAGATGTTCGTAAATACTCCGAGAGGGGCGGGGCGTTATGCTTGACTTAAAATCGTTTAACATTGTGAATCTACTTTTGTCGTTTTAAACATGTTACTGTGTTAACGTACGCTTGTAGTTCTACAACTGGTAACATGTTTTCTTAAACTCTATTTTCTGTATTTAAGATTTACATTTCATTCGTATATTTTAGATCTATAAGTGTGCAAACATGCATATGTATTGCATGCTATGGAAGGTACGAACTTGAAAATTTGTTGTCGGTTTAGATGTTAGGTCAGTTGTTACGATCTAAATGTAAACTTGTTATATAAAGGCGGGAACCTTCAATCAAAAGTTTGAATTAAGAGGCATATCATGTGCTATGCACGGGTAAAATAAAAAAATGGTAGGCATAAAAGTTTGCATTTTCAAAAGTCATTTTTAAAAGGAAAACTTTACATGTCTGGAATTTTGGCAACGAACGCCCTCCATAATTTTCATGTACTGCAACTTCACAATAAGCTACAAAAAATCGACAGGTCTTGCCACGCCCATTACCTCGACATATTTTTTCGGGCTGAAATGAACCTGTGGCTTGATTATATATGCATCATACATATTTAATATGTTCATATACATATCATCTTCGAACAAATGACAGTATATTGTCAAAAATAAATGAAAAATTCATAAAAAACACCCTACTTTCGGTTTTGCAGCGGCACGGGCTACCTCTCTTCATTTGAATTTTTATATCACAGGTACCCTCTCATTTTTTAACACATAGGTACCTTCAAAGCACGACATATGATTTTATTTGCGTTAATCGTTAAGTATGCATGTAATATTTCTTACTCCTATGTAAATATTTTATATTCAGCGATTAACGCAAATAAAAGCATATGTTGTGCTTTGAGGGTACCTATGTGTTAAAAAATGAGAGGGTACCTGTAATGGTATGTAATGGTATGTAATGGTATGTAATGGTCATAAATTGTCTTTTTTGTTGTGTTTGTGTGACTGACAAATGACCGAATTCTCCTTAACAACAAACAAAAAAGATTACAGGGAAAGGCCACGCTGACAATCTCCCCTAGGTCAAAGGAACGCAATTCACTACCATGTTACATATCAAGTTAGAAAGTTAGAGCAAGTTCATATGGCAACTTAAATCTGTTATGTTTAACAGACGCTTTGCAAAATGTAGCACTGTGGAATTTATACTCACAGGTTCGTCAGCTGGCTCTATTGGCGGCAGTACTGGCTTTTTGAACATTGATGTCTCAATAACAAAAGATTCACCATGAGGAGCTTTCCAATGTTGATATTAGACTATAAGTAAAAACATTATTCAGAGTTCAACAATACTTCCTGCATTATATCGTAATAAATATTAATGACTTACAAATGTTTTCGGAATACGTCATCGAATATCCATAATGATCATCCGGGGTTACAAGGACGCTTTTTAACTCCAATGAGTTTTTTACATGGCTAGACTTGTATCTTCTTTTCGAGATTTTATTCCATTTAATGTAGGTCTATAGTCTATACCAGCAACTTGTATGCATATTTTCAGATTATTCGCTAACTTCGTTTTTGGGGAATAATCATTTTTATTGGACAAAATGACATAAAAAGAAAAGATCTGAAAAACGCTTTTAACTAAAATTTTTGCAAAGAATCGTACTAAATTTCATATTACTTTTTTTTATCTTTTTCATACTTTTTTTCGGTTTAAAATACCCTAGATTGTCTGTGTAAGATTTTCAAAATGCATATTTTTATGCGTTTTGGGATTAGTGGAACTCTTTTTAATGGTATATATGGATTTTCTTGTGGTAGATGCTTATTTGGTCTAAAAGGTAAAACTATTAGAATGGAATCGATAGGGTGAGCGTCTAGGTATAATATCTACAGGAAGTGCATGCAACAATTTAAACGACTTCGCAAAAAATACTTAGAGCTTTTTAATATTTTCAAAAAGCAACAATAAAGTAAGTGGTTCAGTAATTGGCAATAATTCAAATATCACACGGAGCTTTGATTTCATTAGGAATAACGCGGGTTCGTACTCGGTCATGCGCCCTTTTTTCATATACCGTGAATTTAAAGTGGATTGTTCTACATGGGCACAGAATGTTAATAGACTTCTTAAGTGATTTAGTATGAGAATATATGTGATGAATAATAATATTTTGTTCTGGAATACTTCATTATCTACATATTGATATAAAATGTCATATCGGATTATGTTACCAACACTTACCAACAACATCTATATATGTTTCTGTCGTGGTTTGTTTTCACACGGAAGTGAATACCATCAACATAATTATTTTATGTTAAAACAGATCTTCTATTTTAGTTACCTCAATATATCCTTCAATGTTAAACTCCCATAGGCCGATTATTTGTTTTGATTGAATATCACCCTTCTAGGATAAATTCTCCGGGGAATATTTATTATGTCACCCAGGGGGAACATAACTCTTGCATCACTCGATCCATATTTAGAAAATTTTTAAGTTATTATTGAACTGCTTTTGATAAGTTTTTTGTTTTGAGCAAAATTAAACTGTTAAAATAATGATGTGTATCTATTTATTTCCTTGACTGCATACTTTATAAATATTGTAGAGCTCTGGGTGTAATAAAATAAATAACACACAGCTTAATATACTAGTTTTCGGGTTGACAATTTCCTCTATCACACCGACAGACATGTTATTTATATAATATTCTCCAATTCACGTGGAAGATAGCAAAACTTACTTCATCTCAAAAGGCACATTATTTGTCAGAAATAAATACATTTAAATTACTTCTTAAAAAAAAAGATGGACTTTAAAACTAGACAAATTAAAAAGCTTTTTAGAAATAAAGATAAAAGCATTTCTGAAGCATAAGGTGGCTTTAAGCTTAAGACCCGGAATTCTAGCATTACGTGTTTTTATGATATTTGAGCGCATTTCTATTAAATAGAAGGCTATATGTTGATCATATTAGTTACTTTAGTATTATAAATATGACTAAACAAGGAAACATTTGCCCCACTCTATTTGCCAGAAGTCAAGTAAGATATATTGATGATTATATGGTAATATTTTAGTCTAATTCCCGGGAGTCATCGATGTTTATTTTACAGTCGAAACTATGGCGGAACTATGGAAAGCCGTTTCGGCGTAGATACTACAACGTGCTGTCTCTTAATTTCTAAGATTATTTATCCATACAAAAATACTGAATAAAGTATGATTGTTACTGAGCAAACAAAGTTACTTATGTACCTTAAAATATATCAGCTAATTTAATTATTGTTAAAGGAACTCCATCCACTGAGGTTCAAAAGCATAAAATTTAATTTTGTACACAAATCAGCTAGTGTATGTAAAACAGGAAGACATGCAAAAATAAGAAAGAAATATGCTCAGAAATGAATTGAAAAGCGTATTTGGTGCTATTCTAATATGATTTGAGTGAAAAGCGTTTCAACGTTTTTCAATTTTGGGTCAATTTGAATAATTATTCTGGAAAAAAACGCGAGAGCGAATGATCTAAAATTTTGCACACAAGTTACTGAAGTTACTGATCTAGACCTACGTTAAACTGAGCATTATTCTCAAAAAATATTTCCAGTCTCGTCATGTCAAATTATTAATTAATTACATTCGCTAACTTTGGGATCAGAACACAATTTAACGTTAACAATTTAAACTAAACGACGAATACCTTTTTTGTCACAGAAATGACTAACTGCCTTGTACTAAATATGGCAGCTAAATCAATCTTCATACTTTGATCAGATACGATATACGTTATAATGTTATATTACTTTTAATGTTAAAATAAATGGATTAAGTAAATATTCAGTTACTGAGCCCTTCAAATTGTAATAATCATTTTTGTGTTTGTTCAAACATCATTACTCTCTGTGACATCAAAGCATTAAGGACAATTATTAGATTTAAAGCAAATGATGCCTTATTATAATAGATATAAGATTGAATCTCTATTATTACTGTGGCGTCTATTGATTTAATAACATACTTACATAAAAAGGGGAATTTAATTTTAATAATGTAGTCAGTGTTTTGGGAAAGAGTGTGTCAATGGCGTTCCATAGTACATGAAAAATGATATTATACACGTTCTCTATGGAATCATCATTAAATAATTCATTCAATAGTTACTGACCATGCATGGTCAATAAAGAAGGAGAAATGACAGATAATATGTATGCCTATTACATGTTATTGACTGACCGTTTATTTTTATCGATTATGTGCCATATTTAGCCCTTACCGAATCCAGCGTTCACCATCTATAATAGTATAAATACATCCGCGGTACTATATTGGGACGAAATCAAATGTGCTTATTTATTTAATATACGGATATTCCAAATTAGATGGATTAACTAACAAATTATAGGTTATATAGTAATGTATAGTTCATAACTAGTTTATTTTTTCTTTATAAATAATGTTTAAACTATATATTTATTGAAGTAAAGACTGTTTTACTTATAAAAAGAATTACCTATCATGTCGTAAGACTTATTTTGTTTTCTTTTTCAAGATGTTTCAAATGACTAAGAAAGTCTTTAAGTTCTTATGTAAAACTTTATTCCTTTACATTCGACTGTATGTTTAACTGTGCATATGTATTTGTGAAGTTTTATTAATATAATTCATTAAAAATATCTATTTGAAGCAGCATGCCTTGAGATTCATGCTTATTTTTCATGAAAATTTGAAAATGTATTTAAAAGCAAAATATTGAAAACATTATTATTACTATTATTTTTCTTCAAATAGTTTGGCTCACCCGGAGGAATGCAGCTTCAAAGATCTTTATGAAATTTTCCTTTATTTTCTTAAAATAACATTTTTTCCAGAAAGCAGATTTTAATTCTTGGATTTTTTTAGCTCATTAAGTAAATGAAACATACATGTATATAAGCTAGTAAAACTATAATTTTTATTTTATTGACAATCAGTTTTGTGACCAGTTAGAAGAATTTGATTATTTGAGGATAATATAATCATTAGAATGAATGGCGGTAAACCAGTCACCATGTCTATAGAGGCACAAAGTCCGATATATCCTGTTCTAACACAGCCTGGAAGCAGACTGGGACCTCCGCCAGGGGCATTTCCGGAAAATGGCGTATCAGTTCGGGTTTTGAGAGACACAAAGGAAGATGCGGAATTTGCAGCTAAATTAACTGTCGAGGCTTTCAGGGGGAAATATGTTCATACTATAACAGAAAGAAAGTATGTTTATATGTTAATATTTAGATATACTATGCTCATCATTGAGTAAAATATTTTAATCACAGAAATTTATTAAAAATCTATGAAAATTTCTTTAATTTAAAAATATTCTAATTTGGGAAAAAAACGAAAAGTTACCCATTTTAAAGGGGAAACTGCTTTTCCCCAATCGTGGGTAAAAGTTAATTTGGTTTTTTTGACACGTATATTTTTGATTGTGACCACCCATAGTGTGAAAGGGTTTTAAAAAAAAAATATTTTTCTTTGGTTTTAAAAAATCAAAACATAATTTTATATATTTTTACAAAAAGGGTGGTAAACAATTGTTTAATTTTTTTCCTAATTTAAAATTTTGGGATAGTAAATTTTCTTTAATGTTGGGCGTTTTTTCCCCCGAAAAAGATTTGAAAAAGCATATATTCAATCTTGTCTAAATTTAATTTTTACCCTTTTTTTCTTCATTAATTTATTATCAAAAAAAATTTCATTTACTCCTTTTTTTGGTATTTCATTTTAATACAGCAACTTTCTAAAAAAAAAATGACGTGGACAATCAATTTTTTCAGCAATGTAAATGAAAATGTTAAGAGACTACCCTTTAAAACGTGTTTTTAGTGTTTAATTACAAAAACTTATTTATTAGTTTTCTTATATTTGGGGGCCTTTGAGATAGTTCCCAAAAGGGTTATGGGACTTTTATTGGAAATTTTAATTATTAAGTTTTTCTTTAAAAGAAACAAAACTCACACATCAGTCCTTTTTAGAGGGGGGTTTTTAAATTAAAATATAAATAAATGTTTTTAATATTGACAGAGAAGGCAATTTTGTATTTCCCCGGCAGATTTTCACGGCGGCTTGATCAAAGTTCAAAAAATTAAAATTTCGGGGTTTTTTTAGACTAATGTAAAGGGTGTTTGTTTTAAATTTTTTTTTCGTTGCTTGTCAGGTTTCCCAAAAAGCAAATTTTGGGCATACTGTTAATAAACCCAAAGGGGCATAAAATTTCCCGGAAAAAACAATGAAAATTGTAATGTTTTATTTTTAGTATATTTAGCATTTTATATCAGAAAACATTTCAAATTTTTATATTCAAATATATCTTGAAAATATTTTCCCCCCAAAAAACAACACTTTTTCAAACGGCCCTTTTAATTTAAAAAACTGACTTATATTAATTTGGCACACTTTCGCTTATTTACGTAACTTTTTTTTACCTTTGTAGACAAGATTCCCCAAAAATTTTTTCTGGTCCCTTCAGTCTTTATAATAAAATTTTCTCAAAATTTTTGAGGAAAAAAAAGCCCAATCGGATTTAAAATGGAAAACCCTATGAAAAAATAACCCACTTTAAGGGTTTAAAATGTTTGAAATAAAAACAAAAAATTTCTTTTACAAAACTTTTTTTTTGTATTTTTACCCAAATTTTCCAAATTTTATTAAAAACAGTTGAAAAAAGCAAAAACTTTGGGGTCCCAAAATCTTTGCGTTTTTCAATCGAAAAATTTTTAAGCGGAAATTGACGGAAGCCCTGTGGGCCCTTAAAATAAAAAAACTAAAATTTAAAGGTGACTCCGAAATAGAGTAAGTTTACTTAATATTTTTTAATATAAGAATTCATCTATTTTCATGTAATTAAATGATTTATTTTTCATAGAGCTAACTAACAGTCAGGGGGATTAACTCAGTCGACAGTTGCAGGGCAGATTTTCTGAGCAACAAGTATGGACCCTTAGGTGGTGAATTGCTTCAGAACCCGGCAATGACCGTCAGAGGGTGTTTCAAAATTTAAATGTCACATTTCAGTAATGTCGCATTATAAAGTTAAGGACAAACAAAGGAGACAACAAGGTGCATTTTTTTGCAAAAGTTAATTGTAACCAAGACCGATAACTCCTTATTCATTAATTGTTAACATAGTTTTTGCAAGGCCTTCAGCGCTATGGTTTATTTTTGGTTAGAAATATTTATGGGTTTGTAATTATTTCTTTGTTTGTTGTCTTAATAGTCTTGGTTAGTTCTGGAAAGTCATGTATGTGTTACATCTGCGCTAAAATAATGCTTAATCTTTAATCTGCTTTGTGAATATGTGGTATGGATTTGCCTGTCTTTAAATTAGCGACAGTCAATTTAAAGTTCAATATAGTTTGAAAGAAATGCACTAAAATTGAGCGGCCAACGTTAAACTGAGAGGGCGTGCTTGCTTGCCTAGCTCTATACTGGCGCAAATTGCCAGTTCCAGCAGGGTAAGAGTTAATATCTTATTTCCATTGCAGAAAAGAGGATCATTTATCGGATCTGGGATGCTGGCATGGATGTAGGTGAGTCGTTTTCTTTGATCATGAATTCTAAGAGAATGCGTTTTATAACTTTGTTATTGGTCCTTTTTCTGAAAGCGGCATCTAGAAAAGTTGCCGTTCTCTCATCTAGACCTTTTTATGTTGAATCGTCCACAGTGTGACTCTCTCCAAGAACGTTATAATCTCACTGTTTAAAGACTGGCATTGTCAGTATAGAGTTATGCATTCAACGGCGGAAATATTTGACTGAAATAACCCATGTACCCCAATTTACTTGGACATTCATTTTAGTTATTTATTTAGGTATTGAAAATTGAAGAGTAGCATAATAACTATTTTTTACGCCATGTTCGATAGATAAAATAAGGACGTTTTGGACTTGTTAACCTTGAATAATGAATTGTAAGATCATTTAAGTCTTTCGTATTTACAAACAGTTCTATACTTTTTTTGGAAATCATTCAACATCACGGCTGTAGTTTTCTAAATCTACATTTACTTTTTGAATTCGATACTCAAATTCCTACTGATTTACATGTATTCACTATTCTAAAATGATAATTGTTTCCTCTATCGCAGTAAATTTCTTCTTAAAAACATGCATGTAACTAGCACAGTTTACCTCTCTTTTTTCCCTGTTAACTGTTTAGATATGGATGTTTTGGTATTGCCACGTCTGTGCATGTAGATGAAAGTTTCAAGTGTTATGTGGACCATATATGTGTTGATGAAAGCGCACGCGGAAGAGGTGTTGGCAAACTGTTAATGAAGAGAGCCGAATTCGAAGCTAGAACGAAAAATTGCTCAGTAAGTAAACATGTGAACGTGTCTTTGAGAGCGAGGCGACCGTGGCCGAGTGGTTAATGTCGTTGACTTCAAATCACTTGGGATCGAATCCCGACAGGGACCTTGGATTCTTTCATGTGAAATAGCTATCCAGCTAGCTTACGGAACGTTAGTGGTTCTACTCAGATTCTGTTCTTGTCTGAAATAATCCAGGGAGGGGCACCTAAGGCCTTCCTCCACCAGTAAAGCTAGAAAGTCGCCATATGACATATACTGTGTTGGTGCGACGTAAAACCCAACCAAGAAGAAGCGTCTCTGAGATGCTAAAATCAAAGATAAAAGCAAAAAGTGACATTCCGTATTTCTAAATTATTTTTGTAAACTTTTAATCAAGCTGCGGAATGACAAAAGTAAACTGAACTGCAATTTTAAATAAATACTTTATATACTTCAGATTTAAGGGTTTTTATTTTGAGATGAGATTTTTCATATTTTTATAGTTTTTATAATATCATTTATTTACGTGTTAATTTTGTGACAAATAGCTGGTATACCTTCACGTAACAACGACGAATAGAGCCAAGAACCTTTACGACAGAGAGGGATTCCGTGTGGTAAAGACAACAAATAGATGTAGTTGTGTAGGGTGCTGCATAGGTCCACCAGGGGTAAGATTTTAGACACATGTTTTTTTACTTTAAAGGGACTCGATTTTTTGTTGTTGTTTTTTTTACATTACGGGACTTAATTATTATTTTTGAGATTAATGTTCCATTTGATGTAGATCTAGACCAATAACTTGTGTGCAAAATTTCATGTCATTCGCTCACTTCTTTTCTTCTTTTGACCTTTCTGTGTAGTGCACAGTGCATACTCTGGTAAGATCACGGACGCAAGCATAAGATAGTTTGGTTAGCATTTAATATATTAGGGTTTTTTTTGTTTTCTTTTTTGTTAAAAGTTCATCAAATAAAATGCGTGTATCAAAGGGAAGTTATCGTTGTGTTTTTGTTAGTTGCACTGCTCAATAGTTAAAATAAATGACCAGACCAGTAAAAACAAACGTATGATAGCCAAGATTGTCAGTGATACCGATTAAGGCACATTATGTCTCAGTAATGAATTAATATTTTCTTCTTTAGAAAGGTCAAACATAAGTTTTAAAACTTTTTAAATGCGTTCAGAGCATGTTAGATGCTTTTTATCTGACGAAAATGGCTCTAAATGTAAAATATGTTATAAAGTAACAAAATGTAAACAAAGTAGTATTTTGACTTCCATACAAAAATACTAAATTACCATAAATGTACTTATTGCAAAAAAAAGAAATAAAATAAAAAAAATAACAACAGAGGAAGAAGACAGTCCTGGTAATTGACCAATGATTAACTTGATGGAAACTATAAAAGAATGCAAAAAAAAACACATAAATAAATAAAATAAATAAAAAAAAGAGAAATAAAGATGAAAGCATTTGTGCGGCTCAATGGGCCTTTAACCTATTTAATATATGCTTATATAATACATGTATACAATTTTATCACTGCAGAAACTACACGAAATGGAGAAAACCCTTTAACAGAGAATGAAAAGAAAATAATGGAACGAGTGCGACAGATGTTTTTAAAGTATAAAGACTTAAACATGATAATCGTCAATCATCGGGAAGTTTCGCCAAATTCCGGAATGGGATAAGAACAGTTCTTATATAATATTGCCGTGTAATGCAAATTAACTACATTCGTATTTGTAATTTGATATAGAAAATTATGGGCGTTGCACTTGTTTTAAATCGAATGTATTCAGAGCTCTTTACCAGGTCTCAAACGTTGTTATGTACTTTGATCGAATGTTTTCATTTCCTGATGAATTAGAACTTTTATTCAATATAATCATGATATAGATAAAGTATACCTCATTATAATACAGTGTTTGAACGCACTTAAGTAAAATATGCTTATTGAAACAGGCTAGTCACATTTGAAGATTAGTTTCTTTAACCGACTACGTTTTGCTAAGATTTAAAGAGATAGCGTTTGCTTTACCAAGTAAGTTATGTATTATTATAATACAACTTCAAACAAAAGATGTCATGGTATTGCGTAAATTTAAAAAAACATTTCCCTGCATAGGCTAATTTCGCATTTATTTAAAAAGTGATATTTTAACAATGTCTGAATGTCAGACTGAAAGATGTTTTTTGTTTGTATGTATGTAATTATTTTTTCCTGTTAAATTCGATTTCGCCAAGATTGATGAAAGTTCAAAACATTGGAGCCGCGTCACGACAAAACCAACATATTGAGTTTGCGACCAGCATGGATCCAGACCAGCCTGCGCATCCGCGCAGTCTGATCAGGATCAATGCTGTTCGCTATCAGTTTCTCTACTTGCTATAGGGTTTGTAAGCGAACAGCATGGATCCTGATCAGACTGCGCGGATGCGCAGGCTTGTCTGGATCCATGCTGGTCGCAAACCTATTATGTTGGTTTTGTCGTGACACGGCTCATTTAATGTTAATTATGTCAAATAAATGTTGTGAATGGTATTTTGTATAAGCGAATAATAAAGGGGCTATCAGTTAGTCCTATCGCAAATTGGTCGGAAGGAAAATAACAGAAAGGCCAGTTATATGAGTTATATATGTCTTTATACCGAGTTATTATGAAACAATTCTTTATGAATATGATTAGTTGTTATCATTTTAGTGTACGTAATATATAGAATAATTAAGTGAGCAATCAAATTTAATATAAAATCATTCATATTATAGACAGCAAGCAATATCACCTATCAAATTTAACATGAAACACAATGCTAAGGTACTTTTATGTTTGTTGTATGTGTTTTCTTGGCTTTTTTCTTGTTTGCATATTGTTTTGTTGGCTAATCATCGGCTGTCATCAAGTGAATTGTTTTTGTTTTGTTTTGTACGCTGTTCCTTTTTTGTTGCGTTACAGTGTCTTTTTGATGTTACACATGTATTGCATATGATGATGCCTTTTAGATGTTTTTATTATTTGTCCATTCTTATGACTTTGAAAAACGTCATTTATAATAAAAATACTGTGCAATGTGTGTTAATCAATGTCAGTTTACGTACTATGTGTTTTTATGTATAATAATAAATCTTCAAAGAACTACTAAAATTGTTTCAGCTGTTTATACTATTATTAAGATTCATCTTTAGCCCATTTACTGTCATTATTTGTGTCACTGGTAGCCTACATCGGATTTGGTCCAGTTATGACGTCACACCCTGATCCCTGGGATCGTCTGTTTTATATATAGTTAGTGTTTTAATAACTTTCTTTACTCTCGTATAAGGGTGTCCTTAAAACACTTTACGATTGGAAAGGAATGAAACTTGATCTATTTGAGTAATCTTCCTAAAAGGCAGTAGCTTTTGATAACAAAATTTCTCGATATAATGCTTCAAATGAAACTTACTGTTAACATTATAATAAAGTAGAGAGTGATCGCCCTTGATTAAGATTTTTTCCCATATTTGATAAATGCAAGTATCTGATACTCTATAGGTGATATTGTTGATTTCATGTTTTCCGAGATAGATATACACTCGATAACTTGATAGCTTGTTGATAAAATAGTAGATATGCCATGCTCTGCATGTTTCGTAAAAAGTTCATAGTCTGATTGTTCTTTACTAAAGGTACAGTGAGTTGGCCAATAACGGATCACTAGTGAAACTTTTAGTGTTTACGAACGAATGATTTTTAAATTCTTAAATAAATGTATGTAGATTTGAAGTATTTTTATTCCTCTTTTACTGTATACTTCTTGTGACTTTGTATACTGAATGCATCATGGTGCATTTACCTTTTTCAAACATCTAGTAAACATGCCAATAACGGGTCAAATCAGCCATTAGCGGATCACGTGACATACGAATGGGGGATTGTCTCAAAACACGAATTTTCTGTCTAATTCGTCTTGAACAAAGAAAATATTGCACAAATATATGTCACCCCTGAATATCAGAGTGTAAAGGGTACCACTAAGTAAAGAATTCAAGAGTCAACTGAATGATTGTGGTAAACATAGTAATGTTATGATTGTAATAATGGTGAACTAGATAACTGCTCTCAATGATTTGTGTAGGCAACAACCACAAGACAAATGGTTGACATTAAATGCATATTAATTTTTTTTTTCAAGATAACAGGGGACAAAGCAGCTCATGAAAACACCTTATATGTAAAACTTGATTAAAGTAACTGAAACCTTAATGTGTTGTTGTTGTTGTGAAACATAAGCTTTAAGTGCAATACCTAGAAATTTTCATGTTCATCTATGTGGTCAGTATGATTAGGATATACTAAATGTAAGAATAACAAAAAAAAATTTCAACATATACTGCTTTACTCCTCCTTAGAAAAATCTGCAATAAAAAACGAACAAAATCATAACAAAATACATGTACTAGTGTAAAGCAATTCTGACTATCATTCATAAAAGGCAATGTAATAATGCATTGTAGTTCTGATTGTGCAGACAAATGGATATGAACTTCTATGTCACAATTAATTGTTATAAAACAGTAGCAACAGCTTCAAAAATATGTAATTTAAGTAAAAAAGAATTCTTTATTGTTATATGTTACAGACATGTGACTGAAAAATTGTATTTTGTTGGGTTTAACGTCACACCAACACAATTTTAGGTCATAGGGCTGGACTTCTGTGTACAATATTTTTTTTTTCCTTTGGCCTTTGGAAGCATCATAATCTTAAACAATAAAACAAATTAACATTGAGCTAGCATGGATTCATTAAGTATAGTTTTACTATTTAATACTTTGACCCATTCTGTTGACCCATTCTGCATTGAGATGTCTTTGTTAGCATATGAAACAAGAGCTGTCAGAGGAGACAGCTTCACCCGACTAATCAATTACTGGACACAATATTTAAAGGAAGACAAGACTATGGACAAACTTATCATATAAATATATTTCTGTATCAACATCAAGAATCCATGTATAAGTTCAATATTTGAGTGACATATGACATGCAAGTGATCATGTCAGACAATTCCTATGCTCTAATGGAAAAGACAACAATTCGAAATCTAAAATTAATCCCTCCTAGTCCAATAAAAAGAATGATAAGAGCTAAACTTATGTGAAGTTTTAAAAGAAAATCATAGTTCAAAGAGGAAGTAACTCTTGAAATAAAACGTTGAGTAGTGACAAAGAACTGTCTGAAAAATTATCTAAAGCCTATGGGAGCGGGGGGGGGGGGGGTAAATTACAGCAATATCCATTTTAGAGTAATAAAATTAAGTAATAAAATAATTTAGTTTTATTAAATTTTTAACAAAATTTTAAGTTAAAGCATACTATATATACATGAATATACATTTGTACATTTGAAGTCACATATTCTGTAGGAATAATTCTGTAAAAAGTCTTTCACAAATCATGTTGGCGATGATGTAAAGGAACATATATTTAAAGTTTGAAGTGGATACATTGAGAAATAAAGAAGTTGCAGTAAAAAAATAAGATTTTTAATGAAAAATCTTAATCCAAGGGGAGATAATTATGGAAATAGTTTTGCCAGAGTTATCAACCTTGTCATATCAGATGTGGTTGATGATAAGGAACATTTTGATTTGAAGTTTGAAGTTGACGCTTTAAGAAAAAAATGTATATGTAAAAATATTTTACTGTAAAATTACTGCACAAAAATCTTAAACTGAAATCAGGACACAGACGCTGGGTGAGGACAAGTCTCAATATATATGTCATATAAATAGCTGAATATGAAACAAAAATATGTTCTTTGTATCTGATTTATTTAAAACAATCATTTATGATTTTATATAGTCTGGAAAAAAACTGGATACCTATATATAGCTACGTACATGTAACCTGGAACAGTATTTCACTGTTGCAGCTGTTTATACTGCATAAAATACTTTTTTTTGGCATGGACTGCATAATTCAGTTGTAATAATAACATAAATCATTTAAACTTTATATTATTTATTCATTTATTTGGTCTACAAACCAAAATTTTCTTTAAAAAATATTTTCTATAACAGGTTGGATAACTTTGAGGCGGTCCCTTCCTATAAATTGCATGATTCGCTATTGGAAAACTCGGTGCAATTCATTTGACTGGGGCTATCAAAATAATTCCTCAAGTATTTTTTAAACGGTTGGTGTTGCAGGTAGTTAACATATTGGGCATCAAATATCTACCAGCTTTGATCCAATATCTTTCGAGTGTTTATGATAAATAAGGCAACAATTTCAAACATGCGTTCTCAACGGCGCTAAATTTCACGAAAAACGGAAACGCTTGGTTAAGCATCTGAGTGAATCTGATATCAATTACACGGATGTTTACATTTTTTGTCTGCTGTCAAGTAGCTAACATCCTAATGTACATGCCTGTTTGGTAAAAACATTTTTAAGCTCAAAGTGTTTGAAAAATATTTCGTTAAATTACTGACTGATCCGTTATTGGCTATGATCCGCTATTGGCTAACTCACTGTATTCGAATTACAAAAAGAGGAGCAGATAAGGGACGAAGTACTTTTACTGTAGATAAGAATTTAAGATAAGGTTTCATGACTACACTTATTTACAAAAGTTGTAAGCATTCTAGTTTTCTAATTCTTGTGAGAACAGAAATATCTTTAATGTTCTTGTTTTAAAAATATGAACACGTAGATCAACAAGAAAGGTAGGCATTTAATGAACGGACCCCCCCCCCATATTGCAACAAAACCCAGTAACGCAGGTTCACCGGAAAGGAATCCAAACAAAACCCATACATAGCAAACTAGAGCAAAACACAAACGGGCGTTATAATAAATAATTTTATTGGTGAAATCATAAAAACCAACCATAATAGAACTGTCATCACATGAATTTTATTGCTACTTTAGTTTAATTGTCACTTAGGTCATTTGGCGACCTCTGGTGTCCTTCTGTGCATTATTTCAGGCACGAACGGGCACCTGACTGAGTAGAACTGCCGACATTCCTAGCTTCCTCACATGAAAGAATCCAAATCCCTGATGGGATTCGAACGCACAGCGATGAGGGACAAGTGGTTTGAATTCAACGACCTTAACCACTCGGCCACGGACGCCCGATTTGGCGTTCTATGAGTAAAAGACCTTCACACTACCATAATCTAAAACACCATTCGAAGTGCCATAAGTGTAATAGGCTGGTTTAGCGTCGAATCGGAATTTATATCCTTTATTCAACATAATGACACAAATATGACTAAAAAGCACAAATGAGCCGTGTCACGATAAAACCAACATAATGGGTTTGCGACCAGCATGGATCCAGACCAGCCTGCGCATCCGCGCAGTCTGATCAGGATCCATGTTGTTCGCTATCAGTTTCTCTACATGTTATAGGGTTGGTAAGCGAACAGCATGGATCCTGACCAGACTGCGCGGATGCTCAGGCTGGTCTTGATCCATGCTGGTCGCAAACGCACTATGTTGGTTTTGTCGTGACGCCGCTCAAATGTGTTATATTCAAGTCTTGGCTCATTTGAAAGCATTTTGTAGGTGAGTGTACTTTGTAGGTGAGTGTACTTTGTAGGTGAGTGTACTTTGTAGGTGAGTGTACTTTTGGCACCATGTATATTGTTAGACTAAGTGAAAAACAAGATAAGAATCAACTCGAGCAGAAGGATGTATCTGTTTTTAACTCTTTTAACTTTAAGTTTCGTAGGAATTAATGGTTTGTAAACGTTCCAATTGTGATAAATTATTTTTAGCTTTCAGCCAAGATACAGCACTAAATCATCTTTTGATATCGATTGTAATAACGTTTTTATTCTGTTTAAATAAAACCGGCGATTTTTTACTGATTTGTGTTCTGTTAAAAAGTTGATTGTTTCTATCTTTCTTAAGAACAATGATGAATAAGTTTTAATAATTTTGTTCACATCTCATTTATACTTTATGGCCGATGAATGAAAATGAAATATTGGTGCTTGAATTCAGGACACACACATTTTATTTAGGGTCCAAAGACCATTTTTTCACGAAAAAGTGTCGCATTGAAGGTCCACAATGATTACCCTATGATCATATCTGCTGATGTTTTCCAAAACTCTTTATTTTGCTATCTATTAATTACAATGCTGAAAGGAGTCCAACAGGACAGATGCAGATACAATAATCAAGCCGAGCAACTTTCCAATTTGGTCTTGTTGGGTGTTCTTCAGGATTTGAAAAAGAATACTTCTACAATGCTCGTGCGAAAGAAATATACAAGTGTATTGTTTTAAAAGCAAATGACGCATACATCAAATCATTGCTAAACAGTTTATACCCTACATAATATTTTGTTCTGAAAATTTTTATTTTGTTTACGTACAAAATTCATGTCCGTTTAAATTGACTTAAAGACATTCTTCGAGAATCAATCATGACATTATGGAACCAATATAATTTTACGGTTGATTTATTTTATAAAACTATTTCATTAAATATAGATTTATACAACGGTTTATTTAAATAATATTTCTTATTCCGTAGGATTTGTGGACGATGTAAACGCTGATAGAATTGGTAAGTGTTTCAAGCATAAAAGCAAGTTTATTTTAGGATTGTTTCTAATGGAAAATAATATCATGTTATATTTCTCACATTTTGCCAACACTGCTTTTAATTGATTCATATTCCGAATGTAGTAATGTCTTTGATATAATCACGGTAGAAACGGTCAAGCGACGGAATGCTGATGTTGCTTTTTTTCGGAATTTCCCCCAAAGTGCCGCTTAACTGTTTTCGGACTAAAATATCCTAAGTTTGCCCAACAGTTATCATGTTGATGTCAAGAAACTTACTTTATTTCTAGGACTTAACCTGCTACATAAATGTTTGATGAGTTATCAAAACACAGGCAACAATGATTTCGCAACATGCATGGCACAAACAAGTATGCCAGATATGGACCTTTGCGAGTAAGTCAATAATATGCATAGTTGTATTTATAAACATATTGTTGAGAATCTCTCCGAATATACACAAATTTTTCCCTTGGAATTAAGGAGCGTAATTGGGAGCGTAATTAAGTCCTATTAATTTATATGGTTTAGGAGTATATATAGGAACGCTGATCTCGGATCACGTGCTCCTCACCTTGTAGTGTTCCAAGTAGAATGAGTAACTTACCATTGTAATTTTGAGATACTTCACCAGCAGCGAAGCTAAAAAGTCGTCATGTATTGTTAATATTTTTGTGTGACTTAAAGGCACATTATGCCTCAGAAACGATTATATTTTTACTTTTTTAGAAAGGACAAACATGAATTTTAGAATTTAGAATTGGTTAAGAATTGGTTTTAGATCATGCTAGATGCTTTGTTACTTGAAGAAAGTAGAAAAGTGAAATAATTTGTCTTAAAAGTTGCGAAATGTAAACAATTTGGTATTTTGTCTTCCGTGCAAAATACTTAAGCTTATTGGATGAACAAAATCAATCAGGTCATTGGCCATGAGTAATATATAGGAAAGTATATAAAAAATAAAAAGTTTTTGAGAAATAAAAATGAAGTCATTTTTTAGGCATAATGGACCTTTAAAGGGCCAATAAGCCTAAAAAAACGCTAAGCTTTTTACTTTCGTTTCCAAAAAACATTACTCATAATTGTATACATGTACACAAATAAAACTTCACTTTACTGTATGTTACATCCTTAATTACAACATACAGGATCTTTAAAATTATATCTGATATGCGTTTAGTGAGATTTTACCTCACTGTGAATCCAATATTGATATTTTTTTCAGATTAACACTCAATGGTTTCCAATGCAATCTTGACTTTATTATGAAGACATGTCCCTCAAGTGCACTAGTATACAAACAGTACAACTATCACACTGTCAGAGCGTGTAATTCAACGTTCGATCTTCCAGGTAAGTCAGCTACTTATCTCATAATGAAGAAACGCCTTGATTTACTACGTCACAATGTCATTCTTTTTCCTCGTCACTGTTCTTTAAGATGTATAATCATGAACCTTGCCGTCAACAAGCTAAAGTTCATATTCAGAACGTATAACCGTACCGGCGATGACAGACTGCTGCAGTAATGACAGAAATCTAAACTTTACTGATTACTACATGTCTACAGGTTATAAATTTAGTAAGTACATCTATATTACACAAATAAGATCAATTTTATTCCTATAGACTTACAATTCATTAACTGGAGAACCTATACGGTAATATTAGGCTCGTTTTACTATTTCATACAATACTTTGAGCGAATTTAACATAGCAGCTTCGGAATAATTGTTTTTATCAAATATCTAATGTTTGAAAAACATGAAGGCAATTCGTGTTTTACACATAATCATCAGTTAGTGTATCTACCCAGTGTGCCTTTTTTGAGAATGTTATAGGCGTCCAAACTAGCCCGGTCGAAGTGGAAATGCTACAGTTGCAGGCAGACATGTATTTTCGATGCTGCCGATGGCCAATGAAAAGCTCTGAAAGTGGTTGACATTCTGAAAGAGAATCAAGATCACACTTTTATTGATTTATTTATTCGTACCGTGCATTTTCCACAATTGAAACATTAAACTATTACTTTCTCATGACAGACAAGATAATTATGATAGAAGCATCAAATAAGCTTTTTAATTGAATCCTAGTTATAGAAAAAGGTTAACTACGACCCAATTGTATCATAAATAGAGCAATTAACATGAAAATATTTAATTTCCTGTGTATAAAAGTAAGCCTTAATTTTTTATGTAACTCACTGTTGAGTTCATATACAGAGAGTTATTTTTTTATATTTCAATGAATGTAATGTAAAATCGCGATGGACTTCGTTTGAATTTAGAGTGTGTTTACTGTGTGTTATTAAAAAGCGTTTCTTCATGCACTTATTGCATTGATAACTCTTCAATCTTGAGAAAATATTAAAATGAAAGTTTAAAGGCTTATGCTACAGTTACATATACATATAGGTATATTAAAAACTGTATTATACACAATATTTTGAAACTTTGAATGACCTTAGAATATATCTATTTTAAACTCGAGATATTTTGAACAAAAGACAACAATTTTCACAGAGTTTTTCCGATGCTGCCATTTTTAACACGCTTTTAACATTTTATGAAATTACTTGATATTATTCCAATTTAAGTGACCGTGAGTCTGTAACATAGAAATATTTGCATAAAATAAATATACCAAATAAGTTTATTACCAAGCTGTAGTAATCAGTAGGTCATCATTGCAGCAATCTGTCATCATTTGCGCCTGTTATACGGTGTGGTCCGACGTGTTTGACCGGAAGTTGTGTAAATATGACAACTCTAAACAACATTGCACCTTTACTCTGCTGAAGCCGAGTCAGGCTGAACATCCGTGCAGTCTGATCAGGCTCAGTACTGTTGGCTGACTAACTCCTTAAAATTTCTATCTTCATATTTTAAGATTGATATTGGAGAGTTACAAAAATGAAGGCTTGATAGTCCATTTCACAAATTCAGTAGGCCAAACATTAGGCTTGGAAATTTTTCTGTCGTACCAGTGTCAGCACTGTTGGCTTCTCAAGTTTAAATTATTTTCTGCCTTGCAGCCCATCACATGACCTTTACGGCAGTTTAGAAATTAAATGCGTAATTTGGCAAAAATGCCCCCAGGTTAATATTTGCAAAGTGTGAAATATATCTGCATTTTAAAAAAACGTTTTTGAAACGTTCGTGTTTCCCAGAAATGAAGTTATTCTATTATATACATTAATTGAAAAGTAGAAAATACTTTAAACTCAAGATTTTCCTATAAATAAAATATGATTATTTTAAAACTTCAAAGCGAACTTAAAAGGACGAAAACTGATAACCCGTTTGGTTTGCATTACTGCGGCTGTATATAAACCAATTCAAAATATATCTGTGAAGATTAGCCTCCTTATAAATTATGATAAGGAAATGGCATATTTTCAAGTCTGCCCTTTGTTAAAAGGGCGGACAACTCTTTGTCCCTTTCTCGTATGAGAAGGGGAATCCTGTGATGCGTGTATGTGGTCGCACGGTCACTTTCCTCTCAACACTTCCTCGATGCGTGTATGTGGTCGCACGGTCGAAATCTCTTTTACTAAAAAAAACACCAAAAAAACTTTTTCGGCCAAATCTTAGTTTCAATTGTATTCCTATTAGATACAACTAATTTCGATTTTTAATTTTCTTTAGGACAGGCACGTTTACAACTCTACATAAAGAATTTTTAAAGCCTACTTAGGGGAAATGAAATTATTATTAGGACTATATGTAAGCTTGCAAAACCTTATTAGGAATAAAAGAAATCTTAATTAGTACTATGTTATAAAACAAGGCACTGATTAGGTTTTTATTTCTTCTAATATTTTTTTTTTAAACTTCTAATTAAGACATGCAAAGTCCTACTTAGTTTTTTCAATTAATTTCTCCTAATTTGTAGTTAAATTCAAATAAGTCTTTAATTTCTCTTGATTAGCCTTTATAAACCCCCTTATTGTGATTAACATACTTCTAATTAGGATATTTAATTCCCCTAGATAAGGAGAAAAAATGTTCTAACTAGGTTAAGGTCAATGACTTCAAACCACTTGCCTCCCACCGCTGTAAACCCGAACTCCGACAGGGACTTTGGTTTCTTTCATTTGAGGAAGCTATCCATATTGGATCTACTCAGGTGCCCGTTCGTGTCTGAAATAATGCACGAAGGGACATATTGAGGTCTTCCTCTCCCAATTAAAGCTGAAACGTCGCCATATAACCTATTCTGTGTCGGAACCAAAAGGCTAATTTAATTTATAATAAGAAGTTCTTTTTATTTTCTTAGAACAAATTTAATATTCTATTTAACGAGTTTAATTAGATAACTACCCAAAACAAGATTATAGGTGTACCGATTGACAACTCGGGTTTCTACGCCATCTCCGTGACATGTGTCATCTCTCAACGTTTAACCGTTGGTGACCAGATTCATTTTCTGTATGATATTCAATTATTCTGCTATTTAAACCTATTATACCAACGCAATGAATTGTTAAAACTGAGAAAGAAAGAAAAGAAAACATACAGAAAAAACATTCTTGTATAAGGAATTGTATGACTAAAATATACAGTTGAATAGATATGTTTTAATATGTTGACAGGTGCCAACGTGGTCTGTGCATAGTTCACACACTAACGATAAAAACTTACGATGTCTGCCACTTGTACTTTCAATTCGCTGGTCTTTCAAATTTAAGAAACTTATAGAAGACATAATTGAGCCGCGTCACGACAAAACCAACATAATCAGGATCCATGCTGTTCGCTTACAAACCCTATTACAAGTAGAGAAACTGATAGCGAACAGCATGGATCCTGATCAGACTGCGCGGATGCGCAGGCTGGTCTGGATCCATGCTGGTCGCAAACCCATTATGTTGGTTTTCTCATGACACGGCTCATATTTAGTCAAGCTGTAAATCGAATGATTTTGACTGTTTTTATCATTTTCTGTACACAACAAAAACATTGAAAAGCGGATTCTCCAAGAACCGGATCCTCTGAAAACCGGAATCCTTCAAAACCGGACGATTATGAGAGTCTCGTATATATCTATGTAGTCGTAGGAAAAAAACCCTCGTTGTTATGTTTGTAAATGTTTGTAATATGAACGTGATGTATCATCAAAGAAATGCATTTGTTTGTTATGTAGTCGAAGACTGTTCATGCATATGATAATTAATATTATTATTATTATTATTATTATTATTATTATTATTATTATTATAAGATGCCAATGTTTCATGTCTTTATTTAAAAAAAAAGCGAAACAAACACAAACACAAACCTTAGTATGATGAAATCAATCGCATCTTTTCGGCCCTTTCCATTATTAATAATTGTCGAAGTGTTCCGACTGGAAAGCTATATCATAGATATGTATTGACGCAATGTCTCTACGGCTATTTTCAAGGGAAACGTATTATTCCTTTTATTGTATTTGAATGTCTTCGCGAATTTTACAGAATGTAAAAGGAAAATTACACGAGTGTGGTGGTATTCTTGTGAATTAAATCAATCTCGTTGAACTACGTGCGTCTGTGGTGCAACTTTAGCGATGCTTTCGATACAACCAATCGGAAATATTACCTTCGTTTTATAAAAGTATTATCGTCTAATATATAAACTTAAAATCATAATATTACATACATATTTTATCGAAATCATACATCTTTAAGTTGTATTTTTTGTCACTTCAGGAAACAATTACCCAATTGTATCTTCAAGCGAAAACAACAGAATATCTGTCTACGCAGTTGGTCTTGCTTTGATGGTATCTCTTGTGCACATTGTTTTCCTGTAAGAAATACTAGCGGTAACTTATGAAGGCGTGACGTCACCGACTACAATGTAACGTCATTTAAAATAAAAATATATTTATCTAATAATTCTTATTGTTTTATTTTGTTTTGCTTATTGTAAGAGAAGGCTCGAGCTACAGTCTCAAACAAGTCTAGCTGAAGGCCTAATAACATCTAAAAATTGAAACATTATAAAAAAACATGGATCGACAATCCAAATACACAATCTGCGTGTTTAGACTTGGACGTCATATAAATACGAAATGAGAAATAGAAATATACAAATAACAGTTTCAACGAACTTTGTAACAAATGTTTATTTCAGTTAAGTTTATCTAGGATTTTTCCACATATATGCTACCTTAAATGTTATGTCGGTCATGCGTAATATTAATGTAAAGCTGAGCTAATGTACGACGTCTGACGTCTTTGACTGTTGGACATTTAAAAAAAAGGCGATACACTTTGCAACTTAATTACATTATTTTTTTAAAGGTGATTTTAATAGGTAACAATAGGAATTGTGGTGTTTTTCAGCTTAAAGCTGCATGCCTCCAGATGAGCCAAAATATCAAAAAAAAATAACTTTAGAAAAAACTGCTCAAATTTTATGAAAAGTAAAATGATTCAAGATTCAAGTAATAATATTTATAAGCACATTTGTATTGTGTTTCTAGCCCAGTCTATGTGCGCATATATTAACCACTGATTGGTAATTTATGTGAAAAAATGTGCCGTTTGCAATGTTTAAATTAGTTTCTTTGTTCACTTCACATAATTGTACTTTTATATACATTTTCAGAATTTTCATGAAAATTAGCGTGAATCAGGAGGCATGTTTACAATATTCCCAGACAACAATATTACGAAACTGCGATTTGCACCACCTTTAAAGTTAGAGTTTAAACAAGTTTTAAATTGTGAACTTTTAAAAAAGAACACAAAGAATACATTATATCAAAAAATAATCTCTTTAATAATCAATACTAATATCACAGATTGCCATGCATAATGTTTTGTTATGGATCATAAAATGTTGCATACGGCGGATGAATGTGAGTTAATAGGGGTAGAACTTGGCACTCCTTGAATTTTCTTCACAGTGTAATCCCCTGAATATTTAAGAAGGTGAAGCACATGTTTATGGCCGTACTTTAACGCTGCACCATAAAGAGTCAATGGACAATATGGTTCGAAAAAGTTTTCTCGATGGGAATAGTCTTTTGAATCTAAATCAATACTAAAATGTTGAAGCAGAGAATACATTTTCTCAGCGTCACCTGCGATGGTTGCGTGCGCAAACTCTATAGTGACCTCGTTGTCTATTAGCACTTTTACTATTTTATCTTGAGCACCTTTTTCTTTTGCATATTCTATCAATGACTTGTTGTTTTTCTGTATATTTATTCTTGCCCAGGATTTTACTAGAACGTTAACTTTAAATGCGTTGTCTTCTTCAACTGGTGTCCAGTAACCTGGGGCGAATTTCCGGTACGCGGCTCTGAATTCATATTCGACTGGACCGGAACAGGAAGTTATGAGATCGAGGTCATTTTCTATATCACAGGTGGCGCCGCACTTTATGAGCGCGATCATGAGTTCTAACAAGTGCATTTTTATTGACATATGCAATGGAGTAAGTCCAGCTTTATTCACTACATCTAAATCTATGTCAGCGAAAGACAATTGGTATACATAAGGTACATATTTTGCCTCAGTCATTGGACTAGCTTCGGCCATTATCACATGTAACAAACAGTTGCCGCTCTTTTCACATTTAATGTTTGGATTGCATCCACTTTTTATTCTATTCAATGCTCGTCCTAAGTTTCTTTCACAAATTGCCATGTAAATTCCATTCTGACAGAATTCAGGAGACAAGCCAAGTTTATCGCTGGGAAAATCTCTGACAATGAAATGGGTTGGCTCCCGATTTTTGTTATAAATGGCGGGGACTTGTACCACCTCCATTTCTTTACCGCGCCTCCCTGTCGTCTGCTGGAAAAATGAGGAAACCGCATTACATAAAATTATATCATTTTTAATTTCATGACGGGGCATACTCATATTTTGTAAAAAAAATACCAAAATCATTTGCTTTTTATGGTAATGAACTACCATATTTAATTCATTAAAAATGAAATTTCTCTTGTTCCAGATAATTTCATCTATAGACAAGTTTGCTTAACGTTGCTTTAAGATGTCGTAAAAAACAACAACACTCGTTTCATAGTCAAAAAATTGTTGTTGTTTTTTTTTAATTATTGAGAATGGATTTGTTAAGTATTCTGTTGACGGTTTTAGTGACAGCACAGCCCTGTTTTTTTTTCCTTCAGAACTATATTTTTGCAGATATTTGCAAAAATGGACAGTAAAGAAAAACGACAGGACATTTGTTCATTCAATTATGTTATTGAACGCAGGTCCATGAACAAACTGACAATGAACCTACACAATAACGCCAATTAACCGGCTGATAATAAATTATTCATAATGGTAAAATAAACTGAAAAATACACATGCTATAAATAAAAGTACAAAAGCAGAAGGAAAAAACAATTACCTTAATGATTAACTATTGTGCATTTATTCCACGAAACATGCCAGCATTTCATTTGCCCTGAAATAAATACAAAAATATATTCTTCTATAAGACATATTATCCTAATGGGAAAAAATCCAGATTCGTTACAATGCTCAAATGTAATCCTTCAGGATAAATCGGATATATCCGACCATCTTCGTTACTTTCCGTTAATATTCATCTCTTGGACCCTTATATGATTTTATAAATAATTTCATGGAAATTGCCGTAAAGGGCCGAACTTACAATACCTTAATTTTATAGCCCTTAGTTTACACTAATATCGATTTTGTAATTTTCTCAACGGGACGTTGGTGGTAGGATAAAAAGAAAATTCTATAAATATTTTATTAAGCTGAGAAATTCCTCTTGTACCGTTTCCTTTCATGTTGTGTTTCTTCTATCTTTTGAAACAAACATTAAACGCTTAATAAAGGACATGTACTTCAATACTTGAATGGAATAACGGCATTTAATCATCATATTGAATCATTGATCTAGTTATATTTATAGTATGTAAGTGTCATTCTAAAACAGTTATGTTTTCTTATAAAAATAATAGAACTGTGATTATTTTCTTTACATATTTGAGTTATAGCACTCATTATAGCACTCATTTAAATATTCGATCCCACTTCGGTTTTGTCCGTTTATTTTACGAGAATTAATATGGAGTATATCACTAACGTTTGGAAAACTACCACTAACTTAATGAAGGTTCTCGTAACAATCGCAATAGCACAGTCGGTTAAGTGATTACCTAATGCATGAGAGGTCCGAAGTTCGATCCCTTCTTTTGACATTCTTTTTAGACTTATTCTCTCTTTATTTTAGGTATATTTTAAAGAAAATTGTCAAGCGCTTGCAAAATTGTCTACACGGAATGAAACAACTAAGAAACACTGAATTGTTCCATTTTGTATTTTATTTTACTGCACAGAAATTACATTTATTGATTATAATCCGAATGAATTTTCAGTATCAATTATATACAAAAATATAGTATTTACAAAAGAGTACAAAACATATTAAAAACAGAACAACCATAACTTCAAAAAATTTGAAAATAGTTATGAATAAGAAAAAAAAACAAAAAAACACTGTACATACAATGTCTCGATCTTACAACATGTAAGACATTTTGATATTATTATATACCCGTGGTTTACCCTATTGCGCTATAACGGTCAGTATAACTAATTAATGGAAACTAGATGAATTTAATCACATTTTACTGCGTACCTCTCACGGAATTTACCGAAAATTTATCGAATATTAATATATTCTGTGCATTGACCGTATAATGAGTATGGAATTGACAGGTTAATAAAATCAAACAATACTATTTATCTGGCTGGAATGATTTGATTATACATAAACAAATGGTGATGATGTTTTGATGAAGATGATGATGAGGATGATGGTGATGATGGTGATGATTATAACAATAAGGTTATGTTAATTATTATTATAAGGATACTAGATCTACAGTGACTTATACACAATAGCAAGGATAATGAATATCACCGGCGATGATAATGATGATGATGATGATGATGATGATGGCGATGGTGATGATGGTGATGATTATAACAATAAGGTTATGTTAATTATTATAATAAGGATACTAGATCTACAGTGACTTATATACAATAGCAAGTATAATGAATATCATCGGCGATGATGATGATGATGACAAACGGCAACGATGGCAACGAAAAGTATTATACAAACATTATATCAAAGGAAGACTTACATTTGAAAAACAACATTAAAATCGTTTACTTAAGAGAAATACTTAAATCCGTTTATACCTAACTTCGGTATATTTTTCATTCTTTAATGGAAAGTTAACCGTAGAATAAAACAATGGGTGTTTACATGTATAATAGCTATATAGCATATATTCTTCAACCACTAGAAAGCTAATTGAATTAATTTTGCCCTGGCACCGACCGCATGTAGCGGATATTTGGTCAATATATACAAACATTCAAACTTCTATATACAAGTAGGTCAAAATATACTTAAAACGATTTGGATCAATTTCGTTTTATCATTTGTGACAAACTTGTTCACAATCAGGAGAGGATTGTCTGGTCTTTTTCATCCAATGTAGATAACAAAGGCCATTTATTAAACATGTAAAATCTATAATTTTATCTTATCCGATTTGAAACCGTTTGTTTACCTTAGTCAGACTCGACGCATTTTTTAACAGAAATTTGCATATTGTACTCTTTGAACAACTTTAAGCAAATAATTTCATTAAATTTTATGGGTAAATGTATATTTACAATAACACACAAAGAGATACGCCGAAAACAAAATATAAACAATGGAGTAGAACATATTTCTCATTTACTTTTTTTTAAAACAAAAGAGTGAAATATTCATACCCAAAGTTAATACACTAACTAAATACAACGATATATAAAAGTTCCATTGAAGTAATGTTTTTGTTATATCTTTAGATATATTGGTTTTTTTTTAAAAAAAGATAGAAAACATGAAGCAAATGGTTAAACTAAAGTAACTAAAATAAAGGTTCTCTATGATTAACTGTTTTCTTATGCGTGGTTCAAACGAGGTTATCCGCGTTTATCATCATATCTTTGAGTGGAAATGTTAATCTAAATCTAATCAAATTCTCGTGCTAAGTGTAAAATGAAATGATCTTTACCTTGTCCGACTTCCTTAAATAACATTCCAAAGTTATATGCATTTTGCACTCCACCATATATATATTTAAACCGTATTTTCCCCCACCTATTGATAGACTTAACACGTTGAAATACCTTGGGATCCAATAGTTATTTCAATGTACGTTTATACAAAAGTTTATTGAAAAGATTATTTAAACTTAATTTGTTCATGCCAAAACTTGAACGATTTCCAATAGTTAAGCTTACTTTGTAAACGGAATGTATAAAAAACACGATACCATACCGTACACAATTAAAACGCGGCGGTAATTGAAGAAAATAAAACCATGCGTGTTAAAATGTTGTTCTTTAATCTATATATTCAATGAATTGTGAGAGTTATACATCTAACAATGGCAGTTTTTGGATATAAAGTCATGAAATCAATATTTTGTAAAACATAAATACATTGACAATTTATGTGTAACCTTCAACCAAGCCATCACTTTTATTAAAAAGGACTCGGAAAACTCTTTAGCCTCGATTTATTTATCGTCAAAACATATGTTAAGCAATTATGCAAGTAAAACGATAATGAAGATAATAACCATGATTAACGATAAAAAAAAGTGATGATGATGATAATGATGGTGATGATAATGGTGATGATGATGGCGGTGATGATAATAATGATGATGATGAAAATGATGATAATAATGATAATGATGATAATGATGATGATGATGATGATGATGATGAAAATGATGATGATGAAACACTTATCACCCGAGTAGGACCAAGAGATATGTCCGGCGAGCCTATTCGAACACAGCCGTTCTGCCTACAAGTAACCAATGTTACAATAACCATCATTAAAATACCCTTCGCTCCTTAACAAAAAATGTAGTATACAAAAAAGAGTCAATCTCTCCCCTTTAACTTAAATTAAAACAAACTATTAATGTAACCCATCACGCAGACTTTTTCTCAATTGCGTGAACTTCGCATTAAACGCGAGAACGCTATTTTAAGAAGTAAACATAGCTATAGTATTAAAAATTACTGACCACAGAAGTCAGATAATATGCACAAGATGGAGCTGGTAAAAGAGGCAAGTTTATGTCATGAACATTAACATCCCTAAATTCCAACCTGGATTCAAACTCATGACCTCCCACATCCTAGGCGAGCATGTTAGACTTCCAATAAAGTTATAAGGAAAAAAGTCAGGAGCAAATGGCATGGCATGCCTTACGCCAAAAATTCAAACTTCAGAGAAAAAGTGTCCTAATTTTTTTTTAAGTAAACAGATTCAAGATTCAAAATCCAGTACATCAGAGTTTCCATATTTCAAAAACTGCGAAAAACAGCACGATCTATTACTCAATAACGCTCTATCACATTTAGATAGTATATGATGAGTGGATTCCATTATGATTGTTCATTACTTTCATTATATTCCTACTGACAAATTGTAAAACATGTATAATTATAAAATGGAATTCTTTTCTTTAATGTAAAAAAGGGGCACAACTCTTGCTGCCATTTCGGTTATATTTATTAATCCTTATTTCCCTTCTCATGAATATGTTCCGAAATAGAAAAAAAGCGATTTTACAGTTATATGAACCCGGACGAACTTACTGACAGACGGCCGGACGGACGGTCGTTGCAACATTTTGGGTTTATGTGGCCTTACTTTCTTTGTGTGTGGCATGTAAACTACTTTAAATTACCAATTCAACCGACGATAATTTATTTTAATATCCCCCTTCTTAAATTAGCTTTCGGTGGATGACGCTGACATATCAATAACAAAAGTATGCATAAGTATGAAAGCAAAATGTTTAGACCATCCAACATTATTTTGGTGAAAACATATAGACTTTTAACGAATTCGAATTTTTGTTGTTGTTGTTGTTAATTTGTTACATTGATTTTTTATTACATGTCTCCTTCATAAAATCGGATTTGATACAATCCGTAAAGACTTAATCTGTGTTTAGTCAAACAATTATAAGTATCTTTTATAAATGCTTCTGAAGTGTTTGTTCAAATAGCCATTTTAGATTTAAAAAAATGACAAAAGAGCGCAATCGAATAATTTTGTAAATTTCAAGACATTTATTAAAAATGTAAATATTTCTTAATTAATATGATGAATCAATTCACTTATTTTTAAACAAGGGACACATATGCCCCACTCCCCCACCCCCTCCTCTATATTGTCACAAAATAGCCTACAGGTACAGTTCCTGGTGCACTTACACAGAACTGTTACACTTTTGTAGTTATTCGAGATAAAAGTCTAAATATTGTCATTCGCTTTAAAGAGACTCCACTGGGGTTTTTGAAATGACGGGACAGGAAATTATTTTTCGAGATTTATCCTCCATTTGATGTAAGTCTAGATCAATAGCTTATTTGCAAAAGTTAAGATCATTCTCTAACTACGCTTATTTTTTCTCCAGAATAATATTTCAAATTGTGAAAAATAACTTAAAACTGAAGAGCATTGCAACGCTTTTCACACAAATCGGACTAAAAATAACTCAAAAATAGATTTTCAATATATTTCTGGGTATATTTCTTAATAATCTTTTTCAAATCGTTATGTTAAGTGCCCAAGCCGATCAATGTAAGAAATTCATATAAAATATCATTAGACCTTAGAACCTCAGTACGTGGAGTTCCTTTAATTAATTACCTAAGGTGCAGAAATTTACATTATGCCAAATCTTCATTATCAGTAGTCGTAAAAAATTTAATGGCTCTAGTCTAAAATGGACTTTTTTTCTATAATCATGATACATTACTCTCAATAAATTTCCGTCAAAATTTTCAAAGGATATAAGTTCACATTCAGGCAATTATTCTGAACAAGGCTCATGCTTTTGTGGTCACGCAACCGAGTTTAAAAATGGTAATTTTGCCTGATGCTAAATCAGGGGATAAAACTAAATATATCTCCAAATATATCGCGTTGAAACACACAAGAACGTAAGTTCACATGCAAACGATTTTGTTGAAAGTTCAATTGTCACATGCCACACTGATCTAAACATAATACAAACATGTATTGATTTCTTTATAAGGGGATAAACCTCAAATAGATTTAAGTCCAAAAACTCAGGTTTGTAAGCTTAAATGCTGACAACTTATTAGACAAGATTGCGTGGCTAATACGCATCATAAACCTTTCTAAACGTATGGACAACGTGGGACCGGGACGGACGGACGGACAAGAACGAGTCCACAGTATTGTATTCACAACAAAAACTGAGTCACCTATACTCTATTTTATTTAAATTTCTATCCAATAAATGGCTTATTTTTTAAATTCAAACGAATGATTTTTTCAAATACTTTATTCAACTATTTTTACCTATACACAATTTCTTTCTTTTTTATTACACAGTGTCCATATAGTTAGGTAAGAAGAGAAAATAAACGTCAGAAGACTGGTTGATAAAGTTACGCCTGCTTGTATACTAGTATAGAGTTTCCAACGCTACTTAGATAGAAAGTGGAAGTTGCTTCATTGAAATAGACAGACTGCAATTGATCCAGTCTTCCCTCCTCAAAAGGCAGAATTTTAATCTGTCTGCAGTCTTGCGATATCAAATGTATTGTATCATTTCCACTGCTGCAAACGAGAACTGAACCATCTTTGCATACAGTAACTGATGTCGGGGACTGCAAACTTTTGTCATCATAAGTTGCAAGTAACTCCCCGTCAAACGCGAATTTCTTCACTTCACCTTTCGTCAAATCCGAAAAGAAAAAATAATTTCCACAATTGCTTACTTCCAAACAACTGGGCCAATCTAAAGTGTCAGCTTTGATACTGCGAATGACCTCTCCGTTCATTTCTATGATATCAAGTTTCGGTGGTTCAACAAAAGACACGACAAGTGTGTTCTGATGGTAAGCTATCCCTCTACATTGTCCGTTGACTTTTATTTCTCTGATTGATTCGAATTTGTTATCTATAACTGAGAGAAATTGAATTTTTTCGATAGAAGGTAATGTAACTGCAATCTGATCTGAGGCTACAGAAGTTATATCCCATGGCCAAGATTTTAAGACAATTTGTGACGAAACACATTGTTGTATTGTGTCTACCACTTTAAGAGAGTTGTTTCCACTATCTACGCACACAATTACATCTGATGACAAAGGAAGCATGTTTGATATTATCGAATCTTCTCTGTCTGAACTTGACTGAACATTAATTTCACAAGCAAATACCAGTTCCAACTCGACAATGCTGCATTTCTTTGGAGGATAACAAGACAGCCGTGAACAAAGTTTTCCAAGATTGCAATTTTCAGAAATCATTGCTTCCAAGTTCCTATTACGTACAAACGTAAATTCAGAGAGTGTCACATTTTCATTTTGTTTTATGTCTTGCTCTAACTGATTGAGGCGAAGTTTTGTTTGGTTTGTTTCAACAAACAGATCAGAGGTCATCTTTGACTGAGACTTTAAACAGTCAACAATGCCATCAAGTTCAGACTTAATGAATTTCAACAAGACCTCATTTTTTGCTATAACTTTTTCATTTTGCTCTTTGAGACGTTCACATTCTTTTATTATCAAATGTTCAATGTTGTCTAAATAATCAGTAATATCTTTTTTGAACTTTGTTATTTCTTGAACTGCTGTATAATATTCGTAAGCACATGCCTGCATACTATTCTCCGCTTTCATTATCATGGATTCGACTTTTGATTGGAGCTTCTTTAGTTTAGCTAGAATTGCTTTATATTCCTCTCCTTTGGTGAATTCGTCAGCTATATCTGGGATAAACTCAACCTTGCATGCCTTGTGGTCAATTACCATGCAATTACCACACCCAACTGTATCATGAACTCTGCAGAAGTACTTGATTATCTCTAATTTGTGTTTCTTGCAGGTTTCAGTACACAGTTGTTTGATAGTTTGCGGATCGACATTCGTCGGCATGTTACCCTTATCCAAAATAGTATGATTCTTACTGACAGTTACTTTGCGATGATATTTCATACATGTTTTACAAAGATACTCCTGGCAGTTCTGACAGAAACCATCGGCTTCTAAACTCTCACCGTCGGCTAAACAAGGGTGATATAATAATCCGTAACACTTAGATGATACCGAACATGACGTAAGATCTTGATCTCTCTCTTTGATTTTTCCAGATACCTCCATGATTGTATTTTAAACCCACTTTATGCCTTCCAATACATTATTTCATGATGGGGTCTTAAGACGACCTCAATTGTTATATCCCGTGTATTTACAATATTTAGTCCAAACACCGGATATAAGTCTTTTTTTCTAATTAAACCACATTTAACTGATATAAAGCCTGCAAGTGTTAATATGTAAATATTTATTTATTTATACGATGATTTATATTTTGCAAAATACGGCATTAACATATATTTTCAATATTTTGCCGTTAATGTCATGCAAGGTAAAAAGCACGTTACACCCCTTTCACATCAAACTTTGGCTAAATTATTATCGTCTATGATGATAATTTTTGTTTACATAATGATTTCAGTTACTTGTATTAATTATCTCTGTATTTAATAAGCTGCTGCATGATATCTTACCAATCCTTCATTGTTGAAAATGTAGTATACGTGTAATACTTATAGACTATGAGAGTGATGTTGTCTATACAATATATGTATTAAAATGTAAGTAAGTAAGCACGAGGACTGATCAAAAAGTTCTCAGGCCGATGTACTTCCGGTAGATAGAGAACCCAACTAATGGTCTACGTTTTCAATATAATCGCCCTCTACATCAATGCACTTCGCCCACCTATTTAAATCTTCAAAATAGAACTCTCTATTTTGGTCCTCTAAGAACCTAATGTCCGCCTCCATGATACGTTCAAAACGTCTACCACGGAGCTTGGTTTTCATTGAGTTTCGGAAACAGGTCGAAGTCAGAGGAAGCCGAGTCCGGAGTATATGGGAGATGGGGTAGAATTTGAAAGTCGCAGTTAGTTGCAGCAGCCATCGCAACTTTGGATGTGTGAGCTGGCGCATTGTCAGGCAGAAAAAGAACGCCTTGAGTCAATTTGCCCCTCCTTTTACGCGCGATTTCTTGACGCAGACGTCTCAATTCGTCTGCATAGTACGAACCGTTTATGGAACAACCTTGCTCAAGATAGTCAATCATGATTGTCCCCTGACTATCCAAAAAATTGAAGCCATCATCAGCCCTGCTGATGGCACCCTATTGAATTTCTTCGGAGGGGATGAGCCAGGGTGCTTCCACTGCATGTCCTGTTTTTTGGATTCTGGATCGAAGTGATGAACCCAAGTTCATCCTGAGTTACGATCCGGTAGATAAAATCGTAGCCAGACAATGTCCATTTGAAATGAAATTGAATTGAACTGTCCAGCCAGGTCCGTTTCTGGTCGTCAGTCAACTGTCTGGGGACCCATCTAGCGAAAACCTTTGACATGCCATAGACACCAGTCAGATTGTCTGAACTGAACCAAAGCTTATACCTACTTTCCTAGCAATGCTTCGCAGGTCTCGCCTTCTATCGCACATGACCAGATCGTGCACAGCTTCGGGAGTTTCATCGTTGGTGGCCTCTTTTGGCCGTTCAGGTCGCTCATCATCTCCAATGCTCTCGCTGCTCCTCTTAAATTCACCAGCCCATTTTTTCACAGTGCTTTAGGAAGGGGACTCCTTCCCAAGTGTATCCATGAAGTCTTCATGGATTTCCTTACGGGGGGGGGGATCCGCTTCTTACAGAGGTACATAATGACGACTCTGATTTCAACTTTCTCCATTTGGTCTAAATGACACACCCCTCTACTGGTGTCGGGAATTGCGCTCAGTGTTTTATATAACTTAATCTGTGTAAACCGCGTGTTACTCGGTCGTAATCTTCGATGAGATATCGATATCGGTATCGACGTATCGTCCGTAAATGTCAGTGTAGTGGCTAGAAGTATATCGAGCCGAGAACTTTTTGATCATATCTCGTATGTACATATTTGACTCTTTTTTATGCCCCCGCCATGAAACGGCCGGGGCATATAGTGTTACCCTGTTCCGTCCTTCCGTCATTCCTGTCCTTCCGTCATTCTGTCATTCCGTCATCATCAGTTTCCGTTCATTATCTTAGTAAAGGTTGCACACATTCAACTCAAATTTGACATGTGGATATGTCATGAGAAAATACAATTCAAGTTCGAATTTGGTCATGGTTCGATGATTTTTTGCAGAGTTATGCCCCTTTTACTTTGAAAATAATATGAAATTTTCAGTTTCCGTTCATTATCTCCCCAACGTTACAACACATTCAACTCAAATTTGACATATGGATATGTCATGAGAAAATACAGGTCAAGTTCGAATTTAATTATGGTTTGATGATTTTTGGCAGAGTTATGCCCCTTTCACTTTGAAAATAATTTGAAATTTTCAGTTTCCGTTCATTATCTCCCCAACGGTACAACACATTCAGCTCAAACTTGACATATGCATATGTCATGAGAAAATACAGATCAAGTTCGAATTTGGTCATGGTTCAATGATTTTTGGCAGAGTTATGCCCCTTTTACTTTGAAAAAATATGAAATTTTCAGTTTCCGTTCATTATCTCCCCAACGGTACAACACATTCAACTCAAATTTGACATATGGATATGTCATGAGAAAATACAGGTCAAGTTCGAATTTTGTCATGGTTTGATGATTTTTGGCAGAGTTATGCCCCTTTTACTTTGAAAATAATATGAAATTTTCAGTTTCCGTTCATTATCTCCCCAACGGTACAACACATTCAACTCAAATTTGACATATGGATATGTCATGAGAAAATACAGGTCAAGTTTGAATTTGGTCATGGTATGATGATTTTTGGCAGAGTTATGCCCCTTTTACTTTGAAAATAATATGAAATTTTCAGTTTCTGTTCATTATCTCCCCAACGGTACAACACATTCAACTCAAACTTGACATATGGATACGTCAAAGGAATGTGCAGGTCAAGTTCAAATTTGGTCATGGTTCAATGATTTTTGGCAGAGTTATGCCCCTTTCACTTTGAAAATAATATGAAATTTTCAGTTTCTGTTTATTATCTCCCCAACAGTACAACACATTCAACTCAAATTTGACATATGGATATGTTTTTGGAATGCCCAGGCCAAGTTCGAATTTGGTCATGGTTCAATGATTTTTGGCAGAGTAATGCCCCTAACACTTTGAAAATAATATGAAATTTACAGTTTCTGTTCATTATCTACCCAACAGTGTTACATATTCAACTCAAATTTGACATATGGATATGTCAAAGGAATGGGCAGGTCAAGTTGGAATTTGGTCATGGTTCGATGATTTTTTGGCAGAGTTATGTCCCTTTCACTTTGAAAATAATATAGATACATCTTAGGAATAAGCAGTTTAAGTTTGAATTTGGTCGTGGTTCAATGATTTTGGACAAACTTATCTTTCTTGAATGCTGGAAAAATTTTGAACTTTCAGTTTCAGCACTCATACTTTTGTGGAAATGTATGTAACCATTATTTTGGCTACAAATATGAAATATGCTATTTTCAAAAGGTTGAGACTGAATAATTTCAGTGCCTTGAACATTGTATGAAAATGGTTTGTGTTAACATTGAAAAGTTTTAAGGGCTTTGAACTTAAAATGAAAACAATAATTTGTGCAAAATAAATTGGAACTAAATATTATAACATCTGAAATTTTGGCTGCATGCGGGGGCATCCGTGGCATGATGACACATTTGTAGTTTCTTAATTAAAGCGCATATCAGCGATAATTAAAGTCAGAACATTGGTTGATGAAGACATCCCTGCTTGTAATCTAGTATGGACTTCCATAATAATAGTAAGATACAAAATGGAAGTTGTTTCACAGAAATAGACAGATTACAATTCATTTTCTAAAAGAAAATCTTTCTCAATTTGCAAGATTTGATTCGTTCTGCAATCTTGCTAAATAAGCTGTAAAGTATTAATTACCCTAATATTGTTACGCTCCTGCATTTGATAGTATCCTGTAACTGTCCCTCTTAAAAGACCGATCTCTTGTAAGGTGTCGCGGTGCTCCAGGTGGCTGGCAATGTCTCCAGATAGCACTCTGTTTCCTGTCTCAGTCTGTCAGCTTCTCTGTAGACTGTAACTCTGCACTGTAGAGCGCAGCTATCCTTTTTTACTGCACCCCGTTCTTATGTTGACAGCAACTGCACTTTCTGCTCTACGTGACTGTGTGTTGTTATGATGTAGACATCAACTATCCTTTCTAACTGCTCTCCGCGACTTAGTTCGGTCTAATGTAGTCAGCAACTAGCCAATCTGACTGCTCTTCGTTATTTCACGTCGTCGTCCCCGCTGAGCATTCAAAAAGTTTGAACTTCAAAATAATAATTAAGGGGAGGGGGTGGGAAATGCGGAGAAATTACAAATACCCTTTAAAGTTTCTAAAGTTTTATTTCTAAATGTAAACACACATATATTTAAGTTAGCTGTAATTTATCTAGATCGTTGTGTTACATCAAAATACTGTTTGAAGTTACAAGCTTTTAACTTCCCTCGCTAAAGTTAAATTCCTATTCTTTAATAAAATCGTAGATCCCAAAAGTAAATTGCCCTTATAAAAAGTTGTGTGCACCAGAATAATTTCGAAGAAATGCCAAAGCAATGAGAATTTTACGGAAGAAGCCAAAACGGTGCATAAACAAAATTTTGGATGTTGAAGCTTCCAAATGAGGGAAAGCTGGCTATTTATATGCCACAGTCCCCACAGTATCCACAACTTTTAGGGAAAGAACGATTCGCAAATATTCTGTGTGCTCCATGTTTTTTTTCGTGGGAAGACATGCCACTTATTTTCGTGGGCTCCACAATAATTTTGTGGGCTATCTTCTGCGCCAAAATAAGCATCTTATCAACAAAGTATTTACACCAAAACTTATTATAAGAATAATCACCTTTAAGTATAACATTTTTTAAAATACTATTTAAGTAAACAAATTATTATAATCGGATGAAGATCTATCCCTTGCACTCGCTACGTTAGTAGAGTAGGCGTATTAGCCCAAAATAGCCGACATATATGATACATGTGCTTAACAACTTTCGTAGTTATACAGTGTTTACAATTGACTTCAGATGGATTTGTATGCAAAACTATATATTAAATGAAGCTGCATCATATACAATCAAACTTAAACATCTAAATTGTAAAATAAAGGAATAAGCGATTCATGAAAATATATTAAAGCATAGGATTTTAGCTTTGATAACATTTAGGGAAAAGCTTCTGAATCTGGAAGTATTAAATTGCTGACACAATACGTGCAGATTTACGTTCATATCGTGTAAAATATGATAAACAAGATCAACAAGGAAAGGTGGCGTTCAATGAACGTAACCCCCATATGATCCAGCAACAAGAACCAGTGGCAAGGAGCCCAGGCGGACCCCAAACAAAAACAGGACAGGACAAAGACAGAGCACGGACAGGTAAATCATTAAATGATAAATAATTTGTAACTGATTAGGAATTCAAAGAAAAGAATAATAGACCCACAAAGGGGAACGGGACAGGAGACCGGGGGAAGGGGGGTTAATTAAAGAAATAAAAACTAGAGGCAATGGGGAAGATACTTACCGTGGACGAGAAAACAACAAGGGACACAAGCAAAAGTGTCACCAAAACAGTATGAAACAACATAGACATACATCTAGGACATAGACATACATCATGTAAGTTTCATTAGGACACCACAGGATTAACAGTTTTGTCGCCAGAGAAAGCTTCACAAAATGAAATTTAAGGTAGATTATGGGTAATGCATTACCTCCACTTTGAGTATTCAAATAGGCTAGAATCGCTTGCAAACTATATTGAAATTGAGGGGCGGGGGTTCAAACCCCAGAAGGGGCAACTTTTTTTCTTTCTTTCTTTTTCTTATTAACATTATTTATGTATCTCTCTGATCCCTTATGGAAGACAAAAGGGTTTGATTTAAATAATATAATTATTGTAGGTATACCAGATATTTTCAAAGTTTATTAAAATAAAAACTACACGGTAAAAGTATTTTATATTTCGCATGATCAACCATTATACCAATATACCTTTAAGAAAATTAAGGCAAACTTTGAAAACAGCCCCTCATTATGGTAAATTTTAGAAATATTTTGAATAAGGCATTTTAGATAGGGAAATGGTAAAATTAGTGTTTAAAGTGGGTTGGGTAGGGTAACATTTTTATACATATTAAGAACATTTTGTTTAGAAACAAACATTTTGTGTAATTTGTTACCTGAATGTTATTATTGTTTCTTAACAATGGGCAATAGAAAAACATTTTTATAATGATGATATTACAGATTATTTATAGTTTCCTCATTTCTGAAAATAAGCCCTTCTAATGGCAAAGTCTTAGTTCAGAAATATATCCATAACTCATAAACCACAAGGTAAATTTTATTTAAATTTTGCATACAGGTGACCTTGAAGACATATAAATATCCTATATTGTCAATTTTACAGTTCCTTATGGTTCCCATTACCCATGGGCTACCTTAATTAATTAGAAATAAACAAGACGGAAATCCTGTGAAATAACAAAGGTCAATTTTTTAGGGTATACCATTATTCTTTTCTAAATATCTGACACAAAAATGATAAGAATATGTAAGTATCTATAACTAACTGACTGACTTTGCCTTTACTTAAGAAAAGCTCACATGCAGTAGCGTAATCTAGAACAGTTGTCGTTAAAGCAATGCCTTCTTGTATACCAAGATGGAGTTTCCAGAATAGTTACTAAGATACAAAGTGGAAGTTGCATCATCAAAACAGACAGACTGCAAACAGTCGAGCTTATCTGTCTCAATCGGCAAGATTTTGATTTTTCTGCAATCCTGCGAAACTAGATGTAAGGTATTATTTCCACTGCTGCAAACAAGAACTGAACCATCCTCACAAACGGTAAATGACCTCGGATCCTGAAAACTTTCGTCCTGATAAGTTGCAAGTAATTTTCCATCAAACGAAAATTTCATCAATGAAGACTTTCTATAATCAGATACAAAGAAACTACTCCCACACACGTTAACTTCTACACAACCAGGCCAACCTAAAGTAGCAGCTGTAATATTGCGTACAACAACTCCGTCCAGTGTCAAAATTTGCAGTTTTGGTGGATCGACAAAAGATACCACCAATGTATTCTGGTAGTGAGCTATCCCTCTACATTCTCCGCTGACTTTAATTTCCCTGAATGGTGTCAGTTTCTCATCAATTATTGAGATAAGATGAATTTGTTCCAAATGTGGCAATGTAACAGCAATCTGGTTAGTGGCTACGAGCGTAATATCCCACGGCATACATTTCAAGATAATCCGTGAAGAAATACATTTTTGTTTCATGTCTAACATTAAAGCGGACTTGTTTCTATTATCTACGCATAAAAATGTGTCTGATGATAAAGGAAGCATGTTTGAAACAATGGCATTGTTTTTGTCAGCATTTGAATGAACATTTATTTCACTAGAAAATACTGGTTTAAATACAGCAATGCTGCATTCCTTTGAAGGATTGTAACAAGAAGTATGTGAAGAAAGTTTTCCCAGAGCCCAACTTTCAGAAACCATCGCGTCCAAATTACTGTTACATACAAACATATGCTCAGTGAATACCGTATTTACATTTTGTTTCATGTCTTGCTCTAACTGACTCAGTCGAGCTTCTGTTTGCTTTGCTTCAACAAACAGGTCAGCGGTTTTCTTTGAGTGTGACGTAAAACATTCAGCAATGTCATCAAGTTCATACTTGATAGTTTTCAGGAAATCCTCATTTTCAATAATACTTTTTTCATTTTCTTTAGTGAGACGTTCACATTCCTTTAGTATTGATTGTTCCATCTTGCTTAGATAATCTTCAATCTCCTTTCGAAACCTTTTGATTTCTTGAATTGCAAAAACAAATTCTTCAGCACATGCTTTCTTACTTTTCTCTGTTGCCATTATCTTGGAATCAACCTTTGCTTGGAGCTTCTCTAGTTTAGCCAGAATAGCTTTATATTCCTCTCCGTTTGTAAATTCGTCGGCTATATCCGGGATAAACTCAACCTTGCACGTTTTGTGGCCAATCACCATGCAATTCTCGCACCCAGATGTGTCATGTTCTTTGCAGAAGTACTTGATTATCTCTAATTTATGCTTATCACAGGTTAAAGTACATATTTGTTTGAAAGTGTGTTGTTCAACATTTGTCGGCATATTACCCTTATCAAGAACAGTATGATGCTTACTGACAGTTACTTTGCGATGATATTTGATACATGTTTTACAAAGATACTCCTGGCAGTTCTGACAGAAACCATCGGCTTCAAAACTCTCCCCTTCGCTTGAACAAGGTTGACACAAAACTCCATGACATTTAGACGATCCCGAAGATGACGTAAGACCTTGAGCTCTATCTCTGGTCTTTCCGGATACCTCCATGTTTTTCAATTGAAAACAACGTTATTCTTTCCAGTGCATTACTCCAATGCGGTCATAAGACAACCTTAATTGTTATATCTCGTGTACTCACAATAATTAGTCCAAACAGAGAAGATAATTCTTTTTTTCTAATTAAACCACATTAAATGATGTTCAATCTGCAATTGTTAATGTGTATTTTTTTATTTCTTGATACGATAATTTATATTTTTTGCAAAATACCACATAAACGTATCCTTTCAATACATTGCCGACAATGTCATGCACGATAAAGAGCACATTTCAGCCCTTTCCCATCAAACTTCGCAAAATTATTATCGTCGATGATGATTACTTTTGTTTATATAATGATTTCGACTACTCGTATAGATTGTCTCTGTATTTGATAAGCTACTGCACAGATATCTTACCAATTCTCCATTGCTGAAAATGCATTATACGTGTTATACTTATAGAATATCTGAATATGACAATGTTGTATATGTGTATAAGGTGAGATTATTTAGATCGATAAAGGAGAGAAAATGCCAGGAAACTCCATTTAACCTCGATTTCATTTTTGTGAGTCCAAAATTTCATATCAAATCCTGAATGTAATTTAAGTAACAAATTTAAGTATTGTCAAACTGTCAAAAATGGTGGTGAGTAAACATAAAATAATTATACGCATATGTATTGTCTTAAAGATATATAATGCTAATCTTTAGGTAAAATATTTTATTGCAAAACTGCATTGAAATCTAAGAAATTCTCACTGATAATGTCTAATTTGAAAAATACAATGCAAAACCTATGTTTGGGAATCTTCCTTTTACTGGTCAAGCTGAATTGGTTGTTATTGTTTTATTTTATGAAGGTGCCAGTTTTTCAATGGCACCCTGAATGCATTGTGTGTTTACCCAAAGTTTTAAATGCTACATTATATTCTTTGTTTGTACTCAAAAGATGAAAAAGAAAATTGCATTGACGAAGACATCTAGCCGAACGTCTGTATTATGAAATGAATAATTATTGAATATTTGTGATTATGTTGTTAATTATACTCGACAGTTGTTCATGTTACATTGAAAACAAAAAGAGACAGTATAGCAATTATCAGTACATGTATTTTCAATTATCAACAGTAAGCATAATATATCTTTAAAAGGCATATATCATAGTAATGATCACAGTTGAATAATTACAAAATACACAAGGAAAATAAAATGTCAGAATTGGTACAAGCAAAATATCACGTGACACGGACACCATTTCAAATTGTTACGGTGTTTGTCTGACAAATCACAAAAATGCATTATATAATATGGAATGAATTATCATAATCAGAAGTCTTGTTTTAGTGATAATTTTATGAAGTATGGTATAAATGTCTCACCATGCTTTAACTTTGCTAAATGAAAGTACATTTATAGTAAAATCAAAATAATAGATTCTTGCTGCCTCTATACAAGTATAGAGTTTCCAAGTTTTTTAGAATTGTTACTTGGATTTACAAATCCTTGACAGTATAAACACGGTGCATATCCATATCGGTACCCTTTTTGCGAAATCTGCTGAACCGGTGCCCTATTTGCACATGCACAGGTCATTCTCTGCTAAAAACAAACCAGCGATGGATAACAATCATGTAAAATTTCATTGTAATAAGGAAAGGAGAATGACCTGTGCATGTGCAAATAGGGTACCGTTTCAGCAGATTGGGCAAAGAGGGTACCGATATGGATATGCACCGTGATAAAAGGAACACAAAAAACAAGCAAGTCTAAACCCTATGTATAGTCCTACAGTTCTATGGGGAAAATATCGTTTTACTTCCACTCAAAGCAGCATACCTCCAGATTCCTGCTAAATTTTATGACAAGTTTGAAAATGTATTTAAAATTGAAATATAAAAATGTGAATAAAGATAGTGATTTACACACTGCAAACGACACCTTATCTGCGTAAATTACCAATAAGAGGTCAAAATATGCAAAAATAGTCCTTAATGCATTAGTCACGCTGTAACAAATTGGTGATAAAATACTGCAAAGTAAGTGCTTAATCACAAGCAACATATAAATTACTACTTGAATCTTGAAACATTTGACTTTTCTTAACAAAAAATGATGAAAAACCTTGAAATCACCCAAAATCTAGTTTTTCCATGGTAACATGTGGTCTTTTACCTAATTTTGGTGAAAAATTGTTGTTTTGTAACATTTATAATTTTTTTAGTTAACCCTTTCCCCCATGAGCATATTGTGAAAAATGGCCATTTTCACTGAAAAGCCTCCTCTTACAAGTTCAAACTGCTATGAAACTATGAAAAATGCTTCAATACTGATCAAACTTGGCACAAATGTTGACTGGACCATTGCCTTTGTAACGACATGCTCAGTCTTAAATTTCCTGTTACCATGGCAACGAGGGGACATCTCAAAATTGCCAAAAATCACTTTTTTGCCTCGATTTTTTCCATCAAAATTAACTTCAAAATGCTGCAACTTCTCAAGGGATTGAGATAGAGTCAAAGGCTTTTCAGCGTTGGTTACACGTTACCTTATGATCAACCTGGGGTCATTTTAAGCCTCTCACAAGTCCAAAATTTTCTTGGCGATGAGGGGGACTCCGCCCCCCTTCAAACCCCCCAAACAGAAGGGGGCACATCCCCCTTCTGGCAACCCCCTGATGTATTATTTGGATGGGGGACGGCGCCGAAAAAATGGTCACTTTTTTTAACAACATTTCTCAAACGAAAAACAGTGTTTGTGGTCTAAATAGGACATTTTTTCACTGTTTGAGGCCTCAAAAAAGGGGGGGGGGGGCAAAAAGCCGTCGAAAAACGCTTATATAAGGGAAAAGGTTAAAATCTTAATACATTTTTTCTCAAGTTTGATTTTCTTGAAATATTTTGGCTCATCTGGGAGCATAGAGCTTAAAGTGTTTATTAAAATAATCATCGTTTTAAAATAGTTTGATGACAATAATTATAATTAAAAGTATACACATTTGTAAAAAAATATAATGACATTTCTCTCTAATTTTCTCGATTAATTATTTTTTAAATTTTATTTTACACAGACTTCCTATATAATTACTTAGATACAAAGTGGAAGTTGTTTCAGTACATTCCAAATTATATTCACCAGTCATATTTGTATATGATATCAACTTTATTTTACGTCACGTTAACTCTTAATTAAATAGCTTAATGTGACGTCACATGGTGTACTTAAATTTACCACCCAGTCAATACAATTTTTGCAATTTATTTATTGGTATTATTTAATCTCTTTAGTATTCCGAAAGATCCTGATCTGGTTTAAAAACATATTTCTACAGAAATTACTTGAAATTGGATAAATGAACTGTAATGAAATTTAGTCTACATATTCACCATGGACTGTAGTTGCCAAAGATACACAATCAAGATTTTCCCTTTTCTTGAAATATATAGAAAAGGACATACACATAGGAAAATAATAATAATAATAATAACAAAACATCAATAATTATAGAAATAATAATAATAAACTTTTAGTTTAATCATATTTTATTGCTTTTACATTTTATACAAAAACAGATACATTGTCACATGTAAACATACTACAAACAGTAACGAATACATTTACAGTTAATACATGGATGTTATAGTTATTATAAAAAAGCAAAAGGGTCGGGCCACAAGTTTTAACAACATTAGAGAATTGGCCCTTCCCACATCGTCTCACTTGTAGTAAAATGATGTGCATAAATTCTGTTTTAATTTGAAGTCCATAAATGTACGAGTATATATCAGCAATCAATATGATATCATTTGAGAAAATAGAATTTGATTATAAAATTGTTCAAAGACTAACAAAACTTGAATTAAAAAGAAGTAATAAAGAAAAGGAAAAAAAAGAAAGGAAGAAAGAAAGAAAGATTGATTGATTGAATGAAAGAATTTGAACCATGTAGGAGATTCCTGCCCAGTTAATGTCCTCAGCATTTATATATAGGTTATGGACAACACTTTAAAAGCGTTGTTTGAAAATAAGTCATTTTCAAATCTCCTTGAATATTTGATGAAATTTTGAACGTGAAGGAATAAGTTATTATTGTCTTCATCACTAAGGTAAGTGATACCGAAAAGCAATTTATGGGCACTAAGAGGGTGATAATCACGAGTATTGATAAATAACGTTAGTCTTTGGTTTATATACAATGGAAACTTGAAAAAGTAATGGTCTGCGTCTTCAGAATAAAAACCGCATCACAATTTGAATTGTCACGTAAGTGATTGTAGTGCAAGTCAGCATTTAAATTGCTACACTTATTTCTTATACGTGTGTGGGGAATTTGTAAAAATCTGTCACCAGAAAGGAAATATATCGGAACTTGAGGCGGCGTAAAGATTTTTTTTAAATTTTGGTTTTGAAAGATGAAAGTGTAGGAGACGTTTGCGTTTCAAGATCTAAACAGTTCCATAATTTAATGGAAGATGGTATCAGTGATTTTGAATAAATTTCTAGACGTCGGGTAACAGTTGCGTAGTTTTCGTTGTTTCTTAAATTATATGTACTAGTATTACGAACTAATTCAGGAAAAATATCACTTAAATAACAGGGAAGCTCGCCTTGGTTATGTTTAAAAACTAGAATTAATTTTTGCATTTTCCTTCTGTCTGCAAGTGATACCCAACCGATTTCACGAAGAAGGTTGGCGATAGACACTGACCTCGTTAGACCAGTTACAATTCGAACAGCATCGTATTGAATGCTTTCAAGTGAATTTTTTTCATACACAGTACAACTGTCCCACACTATAGATGCATATTCAAAAATCGTTCTTAAATAGGCTATATAGATTTGATTAGGTGTTTTTCTTTTTAATTTAAACTTTAGCATTCGCATTGAACCAAGAAATTTAGAGGCAGAATTAGTTATATTCGAAATATGTTGATGCCAATAATAATAAACACTTTATTCAACAAAAGTAGCTTATTAAGACATCTTTTTATTTAGTTTAACGTCACAACAACACAATATAGGTAAAACGGCGACTTTTCAAGAAAAATGGTGAAGGAATACCTCATGAACGGGGACCATAGTAAATCCACCGACGTTCCATAAGCTATCTGGATA